CCGGCAGGTCTTTGGCACCACACAGCCATGACGACCTCGGCACTGCGCCGGCAGGTGAAGAACATCGTGCACAACTACTCAGAGGCAGAGATCAAGGTGCGGGAGGCCACGTCCAATGATCCCTGGGGACCCCCCAGCTCCCTGATGTCGGAGATCGCCGATCTCACCTTCAACACGGTGGCTTTTGCTGAGGTCATGGGCATGATCTGGCGGCGGCTGAACGACAGCGGCAAGAACTGGCGTCACGTCTACAAAGCCCTCACCCTCCTGGACTACCTCATCAAAACCGGCTCCGAGAAGGTGACCCATCAGTGCCGGGAGAACCTCTACACCATCCAGACGCTGAAGGACTTCCAGTACGTGGACCGCGATGGCAAGGACCAGGGCATCAACATCCGGGAGAAGGTGAAGCAGGTGATGGCCCTGCTCAAGGACGAGGAGCGGCTGAAGCAGGAGCGAGCGCACGCGCTGCAGACCAAGGAGCGCATGGCCCTGGAGGGCATGGGCAGTGGCAGCCATCAGGTCCCCTACGGCCGCCGCGCATCACCCTACGGCGAGGACTACGGACGGGCACGAGGCTCACCCTCCTCCTTCAACTGTGAGTGTTGCTGGCAGCTTACTCAGTGGGGGCAGGTGTTGAACGTGGTTTGCACCTGCTTGGTGTCCATTCCTCTCCTCTGTCTTTTGTGGGGGTGGTGGTGATGAAGCCCATCTCCATCCTGCACCACGGGGCAGAGATTTGGCATGGTGAACCCCAGCAGTGGTGGCAGCTGGTGGTGCCTCCAGCTTTCAATCCCCAGTTTGTTTGAGGTAGGGAGCTCTAACCCTGGGGAAGCTGGGCATTGGAATGGGGTGCTGGAGGAGGCTGCTGATATACTCCCCAAAATACCCCAGTCCTGATGCTACTCCTTTCCCTTTTCCTCTTTGTCTCCCAGCATCATCCTCGTCCCCACGGTTTGCCTCTGACCTGGAGCAAGCGCGGCCCCAGACGACGGGCGAGGAGGAGCTGCAGTTGCAGCTGGCACTGGCCATGAGCCGGGAGGAGGCAGAGAAGGTAGGGTGGTCCTGCCTGCTCTGGGGTGCAAGGCATCTCCCTGCACCTTTCCTTATCTATGGGCACAGTGGGGCAGTTCACTGGGAGGAGGGAGGATTTTGGGAGCTGCCGAAGGCTGGTGCATGCACCTGCAACCACACCAGGCTGCTCGTGTTGTGCCTGGCATCCAAAATTGCCAGCAGGCAAATGGAGGCACAGGCTGTCCCTGCTCCCTGTCCTCATACCAGAGAGGACAGCACCAGGCTGGGACCTGTCCAGCCTCCCAGGTCCCAGGGTGAAACTGGGGAGTCTTCTGGATTTGCCAACCCTCCCCAGCCTGGCTGTCCTCTTCCGCCAATGGCTTTTGATCTAATCTCCCCCATTTCTCTTGCCTTCCTGTGGAGGTTTTAGGAAGCAAAGCCTTGCCCACATGTTTGTGTGGAGAATGCAGGGCCAGCAGCATTCCCAGGGCTGTGCACTGGGCTGAGGACTCAGTGCAGGCAGTTGCTCCCTCCCAGTGGCTGGTCCTCTCAAACTGGACGAGAAGGAGCACTGGGAAACAGCCCCAAGAGGATCCACACAGGGATGCTGGCAGCAAGCAAGCTGCTATCCCCAACGTGAAACCACCCCAGGCTGTCCCCTCTCCTATCTGCTGCTCATGGCTCCTTTTCCACTGGGAATGGGTTATTTGCACACCATCCGGGATTGCTGCCGGCTGGCATGGCCCGTATGGAGCCTGTGGGTACAGCTGGTACACAAAGTCAGAGGGACGTGGGCACCAAGGGCCTGTGTGCCCAGGCTGGTGAGCATCCCCTATAGCTGGCACCCAGCACCATGAGCTCAGTCCTGCCAGGGCAGGGACATGCTCTAGAGACAGTGCTTGCTGCTGCCCATCTTCCCTGCCCAATGGAGGCTCTTCTGGAGACAGAGCAGGGCGTATATCCCTATTTTTGTCCTGGAATTGCAGTATTTATAGCTTCCACACGCTGCTGCGATGAGCACTGTAGGAACACGCTCTGGAAAGCATTGCCTGTTGGAGTCCATCTGGGCTGTGTGCATGTGTGCACACGTGTACAGGCATGCACACATCTCACCCTCACTGGGGTCTCTGTTCCCAGTCCCAGTGGGTCCCATGCTGCTGGACGAGCGTCACAGGGTGGTGATCAGTGCCACCATGGTTGTACAGGGACAGCCTCTCCCCAGCGTCTGCCACAGGTCTGGGTGTGGGACTGGGCAGGATTCCCAAACTGAGGCTGGTCAGCATTACAAACCCTCCTCCCCAGCAGGCTGCCAGGGCAAGGGGATACCTAATTCATCCCCTCTCTACTGACTGCATCGGAGTCTATGAAAGCCTCCCAGGGGAGGTGCTGGCTGGCTAATTTAGGGTCATCCCAGCCTCAGTGCAGTGGCAGGTGATGGGGTTGGGGAAGGAGCTGGGCAGGGGCCACAGGGAGACTGAGCAGGAGGTGGTTCAAGAGCATAGGGACAACTGGGCTGGGGTTACACAGGCAAGGCCAGTTGGATGGGCACAGATGCTGTGCAGGCAGGCGAGGAGCCACAGGAGAGGTGGTGGCAAGGACAGGGACCTCCAAGCGGACCTGCGAGCTGAGGGCAAGCTGAAATGTCACCCAATTTCCTCTGTTGGCAGAAGCCACTTCCTCCAATTTCCAGTACAGACGAAGAAAGGCAATTGCAGCTAGCGCTCGCGCTGAGCAAAGAGGAGCACGAGAAGGTACCTGTGTCCTGCAGTTCTGGTGCTCTGCTCTTCTTGCACTTGGCCTTCTCTCTGGGGCTCTGGAGCCCAAAATGCCACCTCACTCCGGCACCTGCTTTGCTTTCGCTGCTCCGGGCTGTCTGCTGAGTGCTCTCCCGGTGGGCTCGGCCCCGGAGGAGCTGTCTGCTCGGATGCTGGGACTTTTTGGGGATGCGGTGGCAGCTCCTGTGCTGGGTCTGTTTCCTGGAGCAGGTGCTGGCTGCAGGATTGCTGAGCTCATGGGTCCCATCCCTTGTCCCCACAGGAGGTGAGGACTTGGCAAGGGGAGAACTCCCTGCAGCAGAGAGCTGTGGAGGAGACTGCCCAGAGCAGGGAGGAAGAGCAAGAAGAAGACAAGATGAAGAAAAGCCAGGTATAGCACTGGGGACTGGATGGCCACACAGCCAGCCTTGAGCTCTGGGGTGATCCTACAGGTCTGCCTCAGGCTTCCCTCACCTCTTTTTATTCCCTTTCTGTTTGCAGTCCTCTATCCTGGAACTGGCAGATATATTTGGGCCAGCACCAGCCCCCTCCAGCCACACGTCTGCTGACCCGTGGGATATGCCAGGTGGGGGTAATTTGCAGGCTGCCAAAACTTGGGACAGTGGCAGAAACCTGTCCCTTGCCTCTGTCCCTCCCCAAGCCCCAGAAGCTCAGTGGTAAGGACCTCTGGCTTCTCCTCCCTCCAGTGCCCACTCTGTTGCACGCCCGGGTGGTGCTGCTGGAAGCCATGGTCCCTCAGGCACATCCCTGCATCCCTCTGTGCCTTGCCACTGTTCCCCTCTCCCACACCTTCCCTTCTTCTTCCAGATATGAAACCCAAAGCAGAGCCAGCAGCTTCTGCCTGGGCCGGTGCAGCAGACCCCTGGGTGCCGGTCCCGGACACCGGTGCGGAGCCCCTCTCCCAGGCGAGTGCTCCATCCCAGCAAACCTCTGCCGGGCCCTGGGATTTTGCCCCCAGCACCACTGCAGCCTCTGACCCTTGGGGGGCTTCCCTCCGGCGGACCCCTGGGGGACGGCATCCCCTCCAGCCCCCCAGGGCTCCGGGTCTACGCCAGCTCCTGACCCTTGGGCCGCTGTGCCAGAGCAACCTCCGAACCCTGGTAAGAGGCTCGACGGACGTTCTGGCTTTGCTGGGGATTGTGAACAGCCTTGAGCATCGCTATCCTCCTGCAAGTGGGCATCTCGGGGTTCTTCTTTCTTCCTCCTGCAGTCAGCTCCCCAAATACCCCTTCCCCACTCTCCTGCCCTGCAGCAGGACCTCTGCTCACCCCTCGTCATCCTGAAGACTTCAAGGAACTTTTAGGCTTTATCTCTGCACAGAATAGGCTGCTTTAATTAA